CTCATAGGAATGCAGATTTAGAGTTGGAAGAGACCTCAGAAGACACCTACTTCTTGCAACATAGATTCAGAGTTGGAAAAAGCAGAAATGACTTGCCAAGAGTCACTTAAGTAGATGGAGTCTATTGGGTCCAGCGATTGGTGGGTGAGTCCTTGGACCAAACCACCATTTCACGAGAGGCCCCAGCCCCTTCATTCTCAAACTTGACTCCCTCTCTGGACTTCCTTCTACATCTTTTAAACAGTAGCTTTTCACCCTCTCTCCTCCTCACTGTTTTCCAGTTCCTCTTTAAATGTTGTCTTCTCCCCATTAGAATAAGCCCCTTGAGGATAGGAATTGTCTGGTTTGCTTGTATTTATATCTTCAGTGCTTAGCAGAGTGCCTTGTACATAGTAAGCACTTAATAAATACTCTATTCCCTTCCACCCACCCACCCAACTCTCTCCCCATTAAGGCTTAGTAACTTGCCTAAAGTCACAAGGTAATAGATGGCAGAGCTGGGATTGGAACTCAGGTCTTTTGACCCCAAGTTTAGCATTCTTTCTATTTTATTAGCTATCCAACTGCCCCATTTTAGAGATGAAGGAACTGAGGCCAAGATGAATTGAGTAATTTGCCCAAGATCAGACAGACACTAAAAAGAGTAACCAAGATTTAAATCCAGGTCCCCCAATTCCAAATCCTTTCTACTATACCATTGTCTTGATCAAGGCTGACTAAGAATGGACCCAAGGGGCTGGGATTTAAAAATTCAATTCTGGGGCAGGTAGGTAGCAGTATATAGAGCACCAGCCCTGGAATCAGGAGGACCTGAGTTCAAATCCAGCCTCAGACACATGATACTTACTAGCTGTGTGACCCTAGACAAGTCACTTAATCCCAATTGCCTCACCCTCCCAAAAAATCAATTCTATTCAGTCTGAGACCCACAAAGTTCATGACAAGTCCTGTTGTCCAGGAGGGGTATTTTACAGTAGTGTTGCTTATAACCCATCCACTCAGCAAGTAAAATTAATCAATTAATCCATTGGCCCTTTATTGTCCTCCAGCTACCCATTGGTAAAGAATCACATTAGTTTATAAAATCTCTTATTTGTCTTCCTGAGGGGATGGGGGAGGGGGAGAATGGAGAACTGTTAAAATTAAAGCTAAAGCATGTCTCTTCAGGAGCCCCACTGGCTGGATCCAGATTGCCTGGCAAGGAACACAGAAAGAAAGAGATTGTGAAGTCACCTCATCCAAGGCCAGACTTACTCAGACTCTAGAGTGAATGAATCAGACAGTTACTGCCATGAAGGAAGAGCCAACTTTGCAGGGGTTTATGTGTAGGAGCCATAGATGAGAAGTTTGAAGAAAAGGTGTTAGAGGGCAACAAATGTTGTCTACAAGCCATGTGACCTTAAACCTCAGATGCAGAACTACTAGGATATCCCCTAAGTAAAGGCAAATGTAATGCTTCTATATCATTAAAGAGGGAAACTACAAGAATCCATGTTCTAACTGTGGTCACACTATACCACTGTGGTAGCCAAGCCATTCTGAAACCATTCTTTTCTAGAAATGTGTAATACAGAAAGAATTTAGGAAGGGGGACTAAGTTAAACCATATGTCTCCTCATTCAATGAAAATGAAAGCAGAAGAACTGAACAAAAGAAGGGAAACTAAGAAATAAAATGAGAATGCCTATCATGAAGAAAACATTTTATTGACCAGAATGTACCTGAGAACTGGTATACTATGCTTTAGTGTATTTACCCAGCTAAAGAAATCCAGTACAATCCAACAAGCATTTATTAAGCACCTACTGTGTTCAAGGCATTATGCTAGGTCCCAGGAATACCAAGACAAAGAAAACAAACAAACAAGAAAAGTCCCTACCCTCAGGTAGCTTATGCAAGTAGAATCACTCAAGAATACAATATGTAAATATGTAATCTGAAGAATGGTTGGATGGCTAAACAAATGAAAAAGTGAATACATACACACATTTACATATATATGTATATATAAGAAAGAAAGGATAGTAAAGAGGATAGGAGAGAAAATAAGAGGAGGGAGGAGAGGAAAGAAGAGGAGAGGGGAGGGGAAGAAAAGGAGAGGGGAGGGGAACAAAGGGGAGAAAAGGAGAGAGGGGAAGAGAGGACAGGGGAGGAGAGGAGAGGGAGAAGAGAAGAGGGGGGAAGAAAGGAGAGGAGAAGAGAGAGGAAGGGAAGGAAGGAGAAGGGAGAAGAGAAAGGAAGGGAATAGAAGGGAGGGGAAAGAAGGAGAAAAGAAGGGAGGAAAGGCGAGGGGGAAGAAAGAAAGGGGGAAGGGAAGAGAGGGTAGGAGAGGAGAGGGGAAGAAAAGAGGGCAGTAGCAAACATGAAATATTAGTTGTGCCTTGAAGAAATTTATGGATTTTGAAAGGGGCAGGTGAGGAGGGATTGTATTCCAGGCATAGGGAACAGTAAGTGGGAAGTGGTCAAGTGTCAAGTACAGTGAACATCAAGTCGACCAGTTTGAACTAGAACATAGATTATATGAAGAAAGATAGTTTAAAATAAACTTGTAAAGGGAGGCTATAGCCAAGGTATAAATGCCAATCTGAGAAGTTTCTGTCTTGTTCTAGAAGAAATAGGGAACCCCCAAAGTCATTTGAGCACAGAAGTGGCATCATTTTATGTGCTTTAGGATGATTATTTTGGCAGCTGGGTAGAATTTGGATTAAAGAGGAAGGAGGCTGGAAGCCAGGAATTCAACTAAGAGGCTATTGCAATAGCCCATGTAGAAGGTGATGAAGTCCTAAACTGGTGTGGGAGCTATGTACGTGGAGAAAAGTGGACATATAGGAGAGATATGGAAGTTGAATTAACAAGATTTGGCAACTTATTGGATATAGGTGGGATGAAGGAGAAGGAAGATTTTATGGTTGCAAACCTGGGTGACTGGAAGAATGGTGATATCTCAACAGAAAATGAGAAGTTTGGAGGAAAGTTGGGGTTAGAAGGGAAGACAGAAAGACAAGTTCTGTGTTGCTGCATTTGAGATGCCAACAGGATGTCCAGGGAGAGATGTCCAAAAGAAGTTGATAATGTGGTGCTTAGGAGACTAAAGCTGGATAAGTCTTGGAAGTCATGTGCATGAAATGCTAATTGAACCAATGGTAGTCAAACACGGCACTAAAAGAGAGGACTTGGACAGAAAAAAGAAAAGGACCTAGGATACAACTTGAGGGGAGACCCACAACTAGGAAGCAGTCAGCACACGGGCAATTTAATTGTCTTTAAAGTTAGCAAAATCCCAGATACTGAATTGTGATTATTATGAAGGAAAGTCGATAAACATAGTAACTTTTCCTTTTTCATAGATATTATTTACCCACATGCATTTCTACATATCCTCACTACTGTGACAGAATATATGGTATTCATAGCTTCTGCAATATAACATTGGTGAAAGTTTTGTTGTTTATGTTAACAAGATATTTTGAAGATATGTTAAATTCAACTTAGCTATTGATTTATTTTTATATGTATCTCTTATGTATTATATTTATGGTAGCCATATTTCCACACCAAAAATTGGGATACATGAATAATCTTAAGAAAGATATTATTGTCCTAAAGCATTATTTTTTTTTAATTGGCACTGCAACCAAAAAATGGGGACCAAATGGTAAGTAGGTTAAAAGCTATATTAGAGGATGGCCAGATGACCCCAGCCTAAGTAGGAAAAATTCAAAACCAAATGTATGTGTACAATTTGAAAGAGATTTGTGAGTGTTAAAGATACCAAGTTGCCTCTGCTTGATCTGATAAACAATAATCCTATTAGAAGGTACAAGGTAATGAGATACTCTGTCCTTGAGGAATTTTTACCCTATGATTCTGTGAGGCAACTGAATTAATTCCTATTGTGGCAGTGGGGAAGGACTGGGATATAGTGTTTTATTTTCTCTTTAGTTCAAATCAGTATCTCAGTAAGCTCAATTCAAAGCTAATAGGCCCAGTGGTTTTGAATGTCCTTAAATGGCCATCTAAACCTGAGTTACGTCCGTCTACCTATCCACACATGTTTTTCTGCAAACTTGAAGGATAAGAGCATAGCACAGACATAGCTTAAGAGAAAGATAAATGTATACAATGTAGAAAAATAGATTATCAAAAGGACAGTTTTTTCTCATTACATGGCTAGAAACCTCTTTCTACATATATCAGATTATCCACCAAACAGCCCCAATCCTGAAATGTTAAATATCTGTAGCTAAAAATTGAAAAGCAAGGATGAGAAGAATAAGACTAAGGTCCTTAACAAGTTGGGTGTTCCATAACTGGAGAATGATTTGAAAATAATTTCCCCAAAGCTTTACTCCTCATTTTTTAGATATATCTAATGCTCTTTAAATAGGTGCTTTCTTCAAGACTCAGTTCAAATCCCACCTTCTGTAATACACCTTTTCCAGTCACCTCTTCATCTTAGTTAGCATAGGACCTGGCACATAATAAGCACTTAATTAATACTTGTTGACTGAATAGGAAATTTTTTTCTTTTTTTATTCAAATTTTTTTATTCTGAATTTAACAAACAAAAAAAAATAACATTTCCATATACAAAGAAAATTACACATGAAAATGAAAAAGGAACAATTAAAGGAAACAATTATATATAATTAAATATATACACATATATTATAAATATTATTTATGTGTATATGCATATAATTGTGATGGAGATGATGTTTTGATTATTTTAAAATAAATTATTCCAAATCCAACAAGAATCTATATTATTTAATCCACAGTTGCACCACTAACTAGCTAAGCAGCCTTGGGAAAATAACTCTCTGAAACTCTGTTATTTTATTTTAATCTGCAAAATGAAGGCTTTGGACTAGATAACTCCCAGTGCTAAAAATCTGCTCTGATACCATTCCACCCCAGGAAAAACAGATTCACACAACACATGCACACCCAAAAGAAGGAAAGGATTCTCTCCTTCTCATTGAAACACAAAGACTCACCTGGACTTTGACTGACATCTGTTGAAGCATTTCCAAAGGGAGGGAAAGGGAGAGGAAAGAAAGGAGGGAGGGAGAAAAAAGAAAGAAGAGAATTAGCAGCACACACGCACAGCAGCCCAATATGTCCTTGCATGGCTGTGGAACTCATGCAAGACGCAAAGATTATTCAGTTTCTGAGCAGTTAGTTCTTTCCTTCACCCAAAAAACCACCCATGCAAGCTGAGGGTCCCGAGATTCCCTTTCACTGTGCATGTAGCAAGAAAGAGTAGCTTCACATCTGTCCGGAGAGAAGCAATCCTGGAAACAGATAGAGCTCCAGAGAGCAAAGCCAGACCTGAAATCAGCAAGAATATTAGTTAAAATATTCTCATGGGCATCACAATCACAAAACACAAATTTGTTTCACGCACCAGACAGGACATTACGTGTAAATTCAAGCAAATTTTCAGAGCAGAGAAAGAATAATATTAAGGCATTCCCATTGAAAACTAGAGAAAAAGAGTCACATGAATTTAGGACAAGTTGTAGGGCAATTGGCCACCCAGTCTTAAAGGACAGGAGAGCAAGCATCCCTTTTAATTCTTCATCCCCAGTGTTCCTAGTGACCATCCTTCATCACAGACAGCAGTATGGGTGAACTGAACATTCCCATTTAATTCTTCTCATTTTCTACCATCAAAGACAGGAATCATCATTTTAAATCAAATCTGGCATACACAAATAAGCATAACTGGATAAAGTCATGTCAATCATCAAGTTTATTGTCCAACATCCACCAAAATTTGGAAAGGCTTATGTCCCTAGGTTGGCCACAGGGTAAGGTGTTTGTTTGTTTTGACAACAATAAGTATAAAAGGACATCTTACTAAGTTTAGGGAAGGGTTACCATTAATGGAAAAGGAAACCACTGACTAGCTTGTGCTTGTCATTTAAGCTCACAGAATTTTTAAGTTGAAAGTAATCTTAAAGATGATTTAGTCCCTCTTCATTCCACAAATGGGAAAATGGATTGTTTTTAATGTTATTTGCCCCCTTACTTAGGGCAGCTACATGGTGCAGTACAGTGCTGGGCCTGGAGTCAGGAAGACTCATCTTCCTGAGTTCAAATCTGGCCTCAGACATTTCCTAGCTGTGTGAGCCTGGGCAAGTCACTTAACCGTGTTTGCCTCAGGAAAATCTGTAAAATGAGCTGTAGAAGGACATGGCAAACCACTCCAGTATCTTTGCCAAGAACACCCCAAAAGGGGTCATGAAGAGTCAGACACTACTGAAAAATGACTGAACAACACAAGTCCCCTTACTGTGATTAAGTCAAATGGACTGGGGTGAGGAAAACCAACTCCTTCCATCTACACACAGTAGTTAGTACAAGAACAAGTAGTTAGTACAAGTAGTTAGAACAAGAAGTTAGTACAAGATTCCAAAGAGAACTGAGTACAAGGTCAGGTGAAATCAGAAAGCAGGCCTCTTCATTCCCATATGGGGTAATAATATATTTTATTATAGATACCTTCCATAAGATATTTCTGTGCCTCTATTTCCCTCTCTGAATGCAGAAGGTGCCAATAATTAAAATATCTATACGAATAGATAAGATAGTGAATGGGAAATCCTATGAGTTTTTTGGCAGAAAAGGGACTAGAGTAATATGAGAAGTAAATGAATGAGCCACAAATAGTGGAGGGACTATGAAAACACCCAGACTGTGCTTGGAGCCCCCACCGGTGCATTCCACAATACATACATACATACATAAATACATACCCCAAGGACCTTTAGAGAAGACCTTAAATCATCCTTTAGCAAGAGCCCCTTTCAGATTTACTTCAGTTAAAGTTAGGGGTAGGGTGGCAGAAGGGAGGGATAAAGAAGGGGAAACAGAAGAGGTAGGAAGGGAAAACATGTTGCATAAATAACTAAACAGGGCCATTAACTCTGACTGATTGATTGTTTGAAGTAGTGGTTGTTATCCTACCCCTTAATTAAACGGGATAGCAAACTATTTCCATGTGGTCAGAGAGAGCACTGTGGTAGTAATGCCTGCAGTGAGAAGCAGAATAGAGTGCTGGACTTGAAAATCAAGAAGACCTGAATTGGAATCCTGCCCTAGATACTTACTAGCTATGTAATCCTGGGCAAGTCACTTGATTTCTGTCAACCTCAGTTTCCTTATCTGTAAAATAGGGATAACAATAGCACAGTCCTCACAGACTTATATGAGGACCAAATAAGATTATGTACTCAAAGTGCTTTGCAAACTTATGTTGTTGTTTAGTCAATTAGTTAAGTCTAACTCTTGGAGACATCATTTGGGGTTTTCTTGGCAAAGATATTGAAGTGGTTTGCCATTTCCTTCTTCAGCTCATTTTACAGATGAGGAAATTGAGGCAAATAGGATTAAGTGACTTACCCAGGATCACACAGCTAGGAAGTGTCTGAGGCCAGATTTGTACTCAGGAGGATGAATGTCTTCCTGACTCCAGGCCCCGCACTCTATTCACTTTGCCACCTAACTGCCCCTTTGAGAATATAGTGATATGAAAATCTAAGGTATTATTATTATGTGACCCACCCAAGATTGTCATGAGGATCAAATGAGATAATATTTGAAAAACACTTAGCACAACAATTGGCACATAGTAGGTGTTTAATAAATGCTTGTTCCTTCCCCTTTCTTTTCCCTTATCCAAATTCTACTCATTCCTTCCATACCCAGCTCAAGTCCCACTCACTCCAGGAAGATGTCATTGGACACTCCAACCCTTCTTGCTGTCAGCCTTCTCTAAATTACTATAACACTTATAACATATACTACAGAATCAATCTAACAACTAATAAATATTTATTAAGTACTTAATATGTACTAGGTACTTCGTTAAGTGCTGGTGATACACAGAGAGAGAGAGGGAAAGAAGGAGCTTACAATCTAATGGGGGATAATCATTTGTTTAATTATATATCAGCATATATTATTCTAGTTGTTTCATGTATTTGAGCCTTATCTCCCCATGCTGTACACAGAGTCATGGGATTGAGATGCGGAAGAGGCTTTTGTGGCCATCTACTCTGACCTGCTCATTTTACAATGAGGAAACTGAGACCCGGAGAAGTTAATGCAGGTAATAAACAGGAAAGGTAGGATTTAAACCTAGATCCTCTGGCTACAGATCCAAGGTACTTTCCACTTTATAACACTACCTTCTGGAGCACATAGCAGACAGTCAATAAATATTTAATTAATTGAAATTCATCAACAAGTACCTACTATGTGCCAAGAACTGTGGTAGGACTTGGAACTACAAAGACAAAAATAAAACAGTCCCTGTGTCAAGGACCTTACATTTTATGGAGTGGGGAATGGAGCAGAGGGGAAGGGGAGGAGGGTGTGGGAAATAGCATGTGCACCTATGAGTATGTACAAATTAGTCTCGGATTGGATCTCTTATTTCATCAGTGTATGGCACTTTCAACATGAAACTCACTCTATCAAAGCAGATGGGCACCTATGTTTCAACTTAGCATCTTAAAGAGTTTCCTGGGACAGTAAAAGGTTTAGTGACTTGTCCATGGTCCCCTAGTCACTGTGTGAAGTAGAACTTGAGTTTGAGTCTTTCTAAGGCCAACTCTCTATCCCTGCACCATGATGCCCATGCCCAAAAGGGGAGACCAAAAAGATTGTTGCAGTTTCAAACTATTAAACCTCAAAACTGCACTAAGACTTTTGGGACACCCACTCTTTGTTGTTGATCTCTGTCCCTCATTTTCTTTTTTTTTTTTTAAGGTGATTGGGGTTTAAGCAACTTGCCCAGGGTCACACAGCTAGTAAGTGTCAAGTGTTTGGTCTGAGGCCGGATTTGAACTCAGGTCCTCCTGACTTCAGGGCTGGTGCTCTATCCACTGCACCACCTAGCTGCCCCTTCTGTCCTTCATTTTCAAAGAGGATCAATGACCTCACAGGTGATGTCTTGACTTGCCATGAATTGGATTTAAGTGAGGCAGAGTTGCACAAAGAAGACCCTAAGTCAACAAGGATAATACAAGGTAAATGGGAAGGTGAGAGATGGTGTGGGAGGGGGAAGGAAGAGGAGAAAAATGGAGGGGAACTAGCCAGATCAGGAAAGATCAGAAAAGACAATATAACCTACTCTTTAGCTACCTGTTTCAGAAAAGTCACAGAGAAAACTGAATTAGCCAAGCAGGAGTAGAGGAGAAAAGCCAACCTTTTCCCACGTCTCCTCAGCATTACATAGTCTACCTAAAATCAAGGTATCTTTTTTAAATTCCTGACATTCATTTCACTAGCTCTTAACAAATGTAACTTGAGTAAGAAGTTTTTTTTACTCAATTACAAAATTTCAAAGTGGTAAAAAAAAAAATTCCTGATTTGGCCAGGTCTTTCTCATGCATACCCCGTGTCATCTCTGCCATTAATGGTTATCAGCAAGACCATTTCTCTGTCCTCTTATTAGGTTCGGTTATCTCAGAATCACTGAAGGTTAAAGTTGGAAGGAGCCATAGAGATTGAGTCCAATTTCACTTTATAGTCTAACAAAACTGATGACCAAAGAATTGAAATGGCTTGCCCAAGGTCACACAGCTAGTAAATGATGGACCCAGGGACTTAACCCCAACATGTTTGATTCTTCCATAGCCAAGTGGGAACTCCGAGGTCTCTTTCAGCTCCAAAACAGATGAAACCATAACTCTCCTACTTCCTACCTGAACTACCATCCCATTCTCCATGAATGAACTTGGTGGTCAGAGAGAGTGCGGAAGGGATGAGGTTCTAAATCTGAAGTGTTCTGTAGGTATATCAGAATCAAACCCTCAGAGACCCCACCTGGTGAACTGTGCCTCAGGTCTGACCTATTTTTCTTGGAGAGAAAATAGATATAGATTGAAATGCACCAGTTCTCTGGAAACTGAAGGGCAAACTGTGTGAGAAAACAAAACAGCAGGGGAATGACACCTGAAAATGGGCTGGGGGAGAGCACAGAAGTCATGCTACCCAAATCAAG